TTTTCGCAATTCAATGTATCAGATTTATTGAAGTTGAGTGAGTTGTATCCTCAAGATTTTAGTCATATGGAAAGGATCGCTCTTGGGAAACAACTTAACATGTACTATTTGATTGTGCGTCAAGATGAAAGATTTGCCAATTTGAGTGGTATTGCCGAGCTCGCTAGACTGCTAGTGGAAACAAAAAAGCATCAAACTTATCCTCTAGTCTATCGGTTATTGAAGTTGGCCTTGGTTTTGCCAGTTGCTACTGCAACAGTCGAAATATGTTTTTCTGCTATGAAGATTGTGAAGTCAGATTTGCGCAACAAAATCGGTGATGAATTTTTGAATGCTGCAATGATATGTACTATAGAAAAAGAAGCACTTCTCGCAGTTTCAAATGATGATGTAATTACGCAATTTCAAAAGATGAAAAGTCGTGGGGCACAGTTGTAAGAGGTAACTTTTTATCATTTTTGTATGAAATTGAAGTTAATTATTATTTTATTTTATAATGTGCCCCCTATAATATATTTTTCTGCGTCCGCCACTGAGTCCCGGTCCCACAAAATTGCCAAAAGCCCCAACCCCGGTCCCGATTTTCGGTCCCATAACCGGTTATTACCACTCTCGGGCCGAGCCGGTCCTAAGCCGGGTCGGGCCGATTTAACCATCACTAAGCCGGCTGCCGGCGTACAAATACATGGGCTTAAAAAATTGTTGACTTTTGGGCCGGTTCCAACTTGTTGAAGTGGGTTTGAATTGAAGAATGGTTTACTTGAATCCTATTATTTAAGAAGCAGCCCTCTTGAATTAATGTTGTTGCACTAAATTTTCATACTAAGGGATGAAAATGAAAACTAGGAGGGAATGAAAATGAGAATTAATTTTCATTCCTTCAAATTTAATTTGAAATGAAAATTTGGACTTATGAGGGAATGAGCCCATTATATTATATAATACCAAACATGTTCTTTTATTTTCGTTCTCATTTGATTACTGCTTAATACTTTTAACCAAACGCCCCCTTAGTGTTTAACCTTTATGGTTTTTTCAAACTTAGAAAGCATTTTTGATAATTCTAAGTATTTGTTATTTATTACACACCAATGTCAGAAACAAGATTATTACAATATACACGATATATTGATGAATATAACCCAATTAAACTTACTAAATTTATCATGAAAGCCGTATTTAAATCATTAAAAGCCTTTTGATGTAATTTCGTAGCTTTACTTCAGTTCTTTTTGTTTTTTTTTTAACAATCCGTAAGCGTTTAGCGAATTTCGTAGCCTTTGTTGCTAACATATTTAATCTATGGACACGTTTGGACTGATCTAAACTGATGATATTATTCTTAGGACACCCTGATTCTCGAGTATTTGAAATGTGTAATGTATATGCTAAGATGGAAATTCAATCTTAAAGATATTTTCATTTATGAATGAGTTTGTTTTTCGATATTAGTGTGTATATTTTATGAATCAATGATTGCACTAAAATGGGGGAGGAATGCTGGTGATTTTAGTGAAATTATAATGTCACTTTGTGTAATTGGATTCACAAGAAAATAATGGGATTGTAACCAAACTGAAACACGAGCTAGAAGGTGTGGAGTGAACATCCGTGTAAACTAACCAGAACCCAGGATCGTTGGATGACTCCATGTTCTAAGGGGCAGATAGTAGTGCACGGGCCGTGCAATTTTGGTCATGAGAAGTGCACGCACGGGGCGATGCTTGGAAATAGAAAGCAGTGTATCACTATAAAACAAATGCCCATAAAAACTGTTGAAAAATAATAATAATGTTTGATAGATAAAACGATAAAGTTTTAATCTTTGTAAATAAAGTTTAACTCTTGTATCCAAAAAAAGAAAGATAAATTGAACTATAAAGTTAAAATCTTTATTAGAAAAGACGGTAACTTTAATATTCAGAATCAAACCACAAACTGATCACTACCACACATATTTGAACCTATCCTCCACGATAGATTTAATGAAAAAATGAAGTAGAAGTAAAGTTGTTCACTTAGTAACACAAAATAAGTACGATACATGAAAATTAAAACCAACCTGTTTGAAGTGACGTTGAATCAGGATCAACACGGTAAAACATGTCCCCAAAGGTTTTATACGACCACTCTTATATGCTGTGAGTCAACTAGTCGCAAAGTCCCAGAATTTGATCCATGCGCTAAACCCTGTTTCACCATTTACTAGAAGATGAATCACTCCTCTTCGTTTGAGGCGACACCACCTCTAAGTCATATAGGAAAATTTATATAACATCTTTGTTGATGCCTCTAAAATTTGTTAAGAGATTGACTCATCCTTATTCTCGACAACGGCATACTATCTTTCACCTTACATGGATCCATAAGTTGATAATACCATATATTAGTTAAGTGACTTGTTGTTACCCTTTAAACTTGGTAGATAGGAACACTATATCCAAGTTTGGTTTCCATCACTAACTGATTCCACATGGTTTCAGACCCATGTCTCTGGTAGTTGACTCTATCAAGTCTCTCGTCAGAGGCTTGGTCAGTGGATCTGCCAAGTTCCCACAAGACTTGAAAAACACAATACTAATGGTACCATCATCAATTAATTGTCTCACGTAATTGTGTCGTAGACCTATATGTTGCGACTTCCCATTATACATGGCATTGTATACTTTTGACAATGTGGCCTCAGTGTCATAATACATAGGAATCGAAAGAATCGGTCTAGGTCATAGATGGACATCAATCAACAAATCTCTAATCTATTTGGCCTCTTTGCCCGCTGCCGCTAGGGCAATGAATTCGACTTCCATAGTCGAATGTGCGATACATGTTTGTTTCTTGTTCGCCCAAGAAATTGCCTCTCCAGCAAGAGTATAAATCCACCCACTTGTGGATTTAAAATCATTTGAGTGATTTATCTAACTGGCATCAAAATATCCCTCTGATAAGTGTTAATTTATTAACCTTATTACATCATCTTCTTAACCATTTTCCGTTGTTTTATTTGCCCATTAGTGTCCTAATTGAGTCTTTTTATATCTTTTTCATATATTAGTAGTAATATAGTATATCTAATGTTAATTCCCTGTTTATGCAGGTTTTTGAGCATTTTTGGGCCCGGTCCTGCAGCAGTCCTATAGGACCAGGAGTGGCAAGGTCCTATAGGACCTATCCGTGTGCTGGAAATATTTTGGGCCGTGGAATAATGGGCTAATTCAAGAAGAAGGCTTGGTCAACACCCATGGGCTTAGTCAAAGCCCAGCTTGGAAGGGTCTTTTGTCTTATTAGTTGGCATCCACAATGAAGCTTCTCTTTACCTATTTRAAGGAGTGTTGACCTTTGTAATTAATACTTAATTTTCACTTAGACTTTTTGGATACAATTTTCACTTAACTTGCTACCTACTCTTTTCTTTCATTGGGATCATCTTGCTACCTACTCTCTTCACCAACAAAAGTCATCTAGTTTCTTACCCATCTCATTGTACTTTTTGTAACTTTGTGATAATCTTGTGTTAGYTATCTTCAAGAACATCATTTTGGTACTAAGCTTTTGTTTATCGTATTTAATATTTCAAGAAGTGATTTTTGTAAGTTACGTTCGCATTCTCAAAGTTTAATTTAAGTACTCATCTTCATCTCRTTTCTCGTTCCAAGTTACATTACGTTTTATCGTTTATAAATTACGTAATCTAAATAAATCGCGTTTTCAAGTTTRCAAGTAACCTTACGGCCTTTGTAACGTAACTTGTTTTGCAAGTTACGTTACTTGACTTGCAAGTTTTCTTTCACGTTTTCCAAGGTTTTCTCATACATTCATCCATCCATCCATCCATCCTTACATCTAAGTACTTTTTGTTATCTTCCCAACAAGTACTTGTTCCTATTATTATTATTATTATTATTATTCTTATTATTATTATTAATATTATTAGATTAACATAATTAATATTATTTAGTTATTAATAATTTATATTTATGTTATTTATATTTCAGTCCTTTACATTTCTGTAATTTACATTTCTGTAATTTACATTTCTGTCTTTATATTTCTGTATTTATATTTTAGTCATTTATATTTCAGTATTTACATTTCAGTCTTTTACATTTATGTCATTTATATTTCAGTCCTTTACATTTCAGTCTTTACATTCCTGCAATTTACATTTCTGTCCTTACATTTCTGCAATTTACATTTCTGTCATTTATATTTCAGTCATTTAAATTCTAGTACTTTAAATTTCAGTATTTTCATTTCCTGTAATTTACTTTCTGCAATTTACCTTTCCGTCTCCGTTATTTACTTTTTAATCCTTACATCATTCGAGAGAAGAAACCGAGCGATGATGGGCTAACGCCTTAGCTTGGGGTGTAACGGGAAATTAAGACCAAAACCGATGTGAAAATACAAAGGTGTCTTATTAGCATTATAGTCTACTATTTATTTCAGGTGCTTAATATTTCATTTGATGATTACATTAAAATTAATTGACAACTAATTTTGTGTATAAAAATGTATTGACTTTCAAAACCTGAGGTAATAGGAGAAGGCTATAAATAGCTTTAGTATCTGACAAATGCTATACTCCTACGGTGTAGGATGGTAACACCGTGTTGTGCTAGGATTCACGACGTCTAACATAAATGATATCGTATCGATAGCACGTTGACCGGTGTGTGCT